CCCCAAAACCCCAAAACCCCAAAACCCCAAAACCCCTAAATTTCTAACTGAAATTGAATATGGAGAAAGCTAATATAGAAAGATTCAAGTGTTCTGCAAGTTTTGGAGATGGTAAGTCTTACCTTATATTCCCCCACACATGGCTATGTTTGAATATAGATGTTAACCCTATGAGTGAAGGGCTCCATACGCAGGAAGGATTCTATCAGAAAAATAACAACTCAGATGACAGCAATAATATACATATATCTGAGATAGGTAAATTTCCTTACCAAATGAGAGAGGCTAAAGGCTCAGAGATCTCTCCAGATAGCTCCTCTAAGCTAGGATCAGAGCCTTATATTCAGGAAGAGAGTCAGATTCTTGATTTGAAAGTAAATAACCAGAATTTCGAAGAGATTAAGGAAGAATACTACCATAATGAGCAAGAAGAAGTATATTATGAAAAAGCTCCTGACTTTGCTCCTGAAAGTAGGAAACACTCGTAAATTTTGTATTTAACCTTTTAGGGTCAACACAGAGGATATCATCCGTCAAAAATGCAATGCTAACAGTGAGTAATTTGTCTTATTTCATTAGGAACTCATGAACGAAACACGCAGGATGGATTCCAACCCACTGAGAATATTCAAATGGAGAGTTATGAATGAAAAACTCCTCTCCAAATGTCACATTCTGGTATTGTCAAACTTAACGAGAATCGCCCTGAGAGATTTGTGGATGACAAGGAAGATTTCTCCCAAAATCTAGACAAATTTACTACAAATACAGAGAAACTTATGAAATATATTCATGAAAATACTGACCGTGAGGATCAGAAGTCTAAATATCAAGGTTATAAGCCCAAGATCATTATGTTCAAAAAGAAGAAGAGTAACCTATTGTCTGACTAATCATGTAGAGTACGGAAAGGGACTAAAGAATCCAGTCAGTGAGGCTAAAAGGTATTTCAATGAGATTAACAACAGGTCAACTATGATGGCTGCTGGGAACAGCCGCTCCCAAATAGATACACAAGAGAATCGCCTTCGAAAGGCGATTTCTCCTCGCCAGTACGACAAAGTCTTAGGAAAGTATCGTAAGAGTCAAAAGAGTGGCTCTATAGCCAACTCTTTCAAGGATACTATCTCTTCAGTAAGAGTTCGTCTAATCTGTAGAAAACGAGCAATGACGCAGCCAAGATGGTATTCGAGAAGGTCACCTTGAAGTTGGACCTTAACAAGACAGATGAGAAGGAATTTATGTCTAATTTTTACAAAGAATATGCTAATAATCCATACAACAAGGAGAAATCTTTCATGGCAAGGATGACCGAGGATATCTCTAAGCGTCAGCTAAAGGAGCAGAGGCTCAAGCAGGCTGAAGTCAAGTATAGAAGGAGCAAGTACGGGTCTCTAAGTCGCGAAAGGGTAGATTTTATACTGACACTAACATAGGCCGAACAGTTAAGTGACAGATTGTACAAAGATGCACATTCAAAAATCCTTTCTCGTTCAAAAATGGAAGGAATGCATAAAACTTACAGAGATTTTCATGAAAAAGGCCTTGACAAGTCAAGATCTTTGAGCACAGGAAGGGCTGGAAAGAAAAAGATCAATCAGTTCTTACAACGTATGAAGCACAAAGATGATGAAGCCAAGAAGCGGATCTACGATTTGCGCAAGGAAAAGACATACACAGGTATGCATGCTACTTCAAGTTCTAGAGAACAGGAAGGTCGAACAGGTGCTTCACCAGAATATCAGCAGGGGAAAAATGTCCAAACATGACATTGTCAAGCTCCAAAGTATTATTTTTGAGTAATTCCACTAGGGAAATTTGAGAAAGACATTGAGAAAAGGAAGAAAGATTATGAGATCAGGCTAAAACTTAAGCAGAAGAGGTTTGAAGATTCCATTCAAGGTAATTCTAATCTCTAACTGCTAGGGATGTTCCAACCCCAAATTGATAAATCGAAGAGAAGTCTTGAGAGCTCAAGAAAAGCATATTCTGATGCACATTCCGTTGCTAATACAATGGAATACAGGAAGGACTTAGACGAAAATATTAAGCAGGCCTTCTCGTATTTTAGAGAGGCAAAGAATATGATGGATCAGAGGTCTAGCTCTCAGAGAGCAAAAGTTAGACTTGAAAGAAGCTCTGACGGCAAGCATAGCAATAGTGAGTCCTTTAGGCTTTTCTAAGTTAATGATTGAATAGACTTACAGTTTGAGAAATATCTGGCCAATACTCCAAAGGTGCAAAATACTGATTTGAGATACTTCAGAGGGACTTCAAAGCATCGAGGGAGTTCATCTAGTAAGAGGATTCGCGATTATGGCATCAGAAACCCCAACCTCGAATCATCAGGAAAGAAGACTAAATAAAAAGCTGCAGTTTACCGATGAGAACTTTAACTACAGTATCGGCTCGAAAGAAGAGGCTGCAGAGCAATATTTTATAAATAATGGGTCTAAGAATAGCCCATTGATGGGGTCACCCAACTTGAAGATGTCTGACTTGAAATATTCACCATCTAAAGCTAGAAAGAAGAGGATAAAGAAGGCTCCAAAGCCTCCAAAAAGCAGAAGAGTATAAATTTTACTGAATCTATAGGGGAGACAGAATAGGGATGATAACAATGGCCAAGTTCCCAATTATCTCAGTGCTACACAGAGTAGTCTCAGAGCAAAACGGGTCAAACATGTTGTGTCTGAAACTAGAAGAAGTGGTAAGACTTCTGACTATCTTTAGGATCCATGACAGGCTCTTTCAGGAGTCAGAGAAGGTCTAATATTCGTAATAAGAAGTCAGTTATATCTCAAAGTTCATATGAAGGAACCAAAGTTAGCAACTCTGTTAGTAGAATTAATAAAGCTAGGGCTACCTCAGAGAATAATCAAGAGAATAGAAGAGGATTCAAACTTAATATCTCAGATAGAGAAAAATATGAAAAGTCGTTGAAAAATTTTGAACAGTACAAACTTGAGAACGTAAAGAAGTAATTCATTTCAATTTTTGGAAATAATTTTGGGGTTTTGGGGTTTTGGGGTTTTGGGGG